GGCATCAGCTTGTTCACCCAGCTCAGGCTCTGCCAACCAAACAGCAGCTCCTCGGGGAATTCCGGCTTTTCCATTGTTGTCACAGTTAGTCAGGTTTGTTGGATTCTGTAACCAAGCAACAGCAGTCATCTGGGAACCAGAGATAATAACCTGAGCAGAGCGGTCTCAGAAAGCATGGCTGATGCTGATGGGAGCAGGAAACAATCCGGCTCGAAACAGTTCCCCTCCTGGGGTGGGGGCGGTGCGAAATGAGGTAGGGGTGGTGGGCTAGCAAATGATTTCTTTAAAAATCCCACAGCCGGGAGGTATTGGGTTGGGGGGGTTGGTGGTGATGGTGGGAGGGCACTGAAACACGCTGGGTCTGATTGAGCCACTCAAGGTCAGAGTTCAAAACCTGCCCGGTCGCTCACTCGAAACAGGGTTAAAGGTCAAACACTGAGCCACAACGCGTGCAGGCATGTCAAAACCTTCCCCAGGCCTCTGTAAGAATGTGCATGCGTTAGTAACAATGTTAGACATGTAAAGCATTTGTGTTTACCTTCACGACGCCTCCACTAACTATTCTGAACCACTTTTAACCTATAATGTACTCACATCCAACAAGGCCCCGTTGCCATGATCAGCGGCTGGGATACCATTTTCACAGAGGGTATGGCTAATCACAGGGTCACCCCCCAACCCCACCGCCAACTCCCTGCCTGTTGAAACCTGCATCGGCCTTTCCCATTGTTGTCTGGAGCCAAGTTATCCCAGGGCAGAGTGGGATGAAATAGGCCTGGGTTCGGACCCACGGCCTGCGCCATTTCCCCAAGTTGCTGGGCACAGGAAACCCTCCCACCCCTTGATGGAAAAATGTAGGCAAGTGTTAAAAAACGTGAAATACCTCCTTCTTGGCTGGAAAGTTCACCGGTTTGTTCAGAAGAATGAGAGCCTGGAGAGAGTGGACATGGAGATGTTTCCACTTGTCAGAGTGACTAGGACCAGAGGGCACAGCCTTGGGGTGAAGGGATGAGCCTTGAGAACCCCGAGATGAGGAGGATGGTGGTGACTCGGTGGGATTCATTGCTGCAGAAGGTTGTGAAGGCCAAACCATTGAGTGTGTTTAAGATAGAGATAGTTTCTTTGATTAGTAAAAGGGATCAGAAGTTCTGGGGAGAAGGCAGGAGAATGGGGTTGAGAAAGAGCAGACTTGATGGGCCAAATGGCCTTAATTGCTCCTGTTTCTTATGATCTTATGGTCTATGTTTTTTTTTACTCATTCCTGAGTTGACCCTTGAGAAGATGGCAGTTGCTGTTCACCATTAAACACTTTATTTTCATATCTCTGGTCTAAGGCAGAATCGGAATGGGATTAATGGGAATGTCTGTGGAGTATGGATAATCCATGTTGCACTTTATAACAGGTCTAATCTACTGGTGTGCTGTGGGAGGGTTTTAATTTCCGCTGTTTAATGGTTAGGCTTTTGCATCTTTCTGCCTCATCGAAGGAGCTCTGTGGGATTACAATCCCCTTGTTTACCAATGACACTGTCTACTCAAAGGAATTATTTGTGTTCACCATCTGATCTAGTCAGTTCCACTTCTCAGAGATATGACTGGTTAGGAGTATATTCACAGGAGTTTGGGAGAATGAGGGCAGATCTGATAACATAATCTATGAGATTCTAACAGGACTAGACAGGGTAAACGCAGGGAGGATGTTCCCCATGACCAAGGAGCCCAGAACCAGGGGTCACAGTTTAAGGATAGAGGGAAGCCCATTTAGGACTGAGATGAGGAGAAATTTCTTCACCCAGAGTGTGGTGAGCCTGTGGAATTATCTCCCACAGAGATTGGTTGACTCTGAAGCATTGAATGTTTTCAAGCAGGAGTTAGATATAGTTCCTTCAGCTAAAAGGATCAAAGGGTGTAGGGAGAAAGTGGGAACAGGGGACTGAGTTGGATGATCAGCCTTGATCATATTGAATGGCAGAGCAGTTCTAAAGGCTGAACGGCTCCTATTTTCTATGTTTCTAATTCAATGTTTTGTATTTTTTACCTTGTTGTGGTGTCTTATGGCAGAATGGGGAGTGTCGCTGCCTCCAAGTAAGAGGCCCCAGGTTCAAGTCCCACTCCAGGACATGATGGTCAATGAAGACATGCCTGCATCGTGGTCAATCGGGCTGAATATCAACAAGGAAGTCCTTCCAACACACACCAATGGCAGGCAGGAAAGATTCCCGGCTGGTTGGGTGCCAACATGTTGGAAATATAATCAGACTCTCTGTCATTGCTATCCGTAGCTGCGGATGACAGCCCCTCGGCTGGATGCTGGGTATGGATTAGGATGGTGCCAACTGCATGGCGTTTGACCCCTGCCCTGTCTGGGGGGTTTCTGGGGCTGCCTCCTTGCCCTGCCCACAGTGGACCCTGTGACACTGTGCATCAGACCTGCCTTTGAGCAGGGAATGTGAGAAGAGGGTGGGTTACCCCTTCTCTGGGGGCTAGTTCCTCTGCTGCTCAGGGTCTTCGTTGGTTATGTCAGACCCACCCATCAGTCAAGTGATGGGAAGAACTCTCCTGCGATTATCTGACAGAGAGTGTCACGAGATTTAGGACACTGCTATTTGTCCTTGTGCTAATATGGAAGAAAGGCCTTTGTAATTATCAGACACATATGCACATTGTATTTTGTACTTCACGCCTCAGGGTGTTAAAATCAACAGTTAATTATAGTCCCACACTAGCACTGAACTGAATGACATAATCCTATCTCTCTCTCTCTCTTCTGCGCCAACTCATCATATGGTCAGCTTGAGATCATGGAATTTCGAGACAGCTACCCAATCTAAGTGCTGAGTTGGAAAGGTCATGAAATTCTCTGTCTGTTCAAGGCACGCCCCTAAACGTTGGAGACACATCACTCAGGGACTTTGAAGCTGTCTCAAAGTTGAGCCACCCTCAATGGCAGAGCAAGGGAAAGTGTCAGGATTCTGGGCCAAGAACAGGGTCCCATGTAAGGAATTGCCCTTTCTTCAAAGAGAGGGAAAGGGGATAAGATGAGCAGAATGGCCTCCTGTCTGTTTTGCATGGTTCTTTGTATGGCACAGCAACTTCACTAGATTACCAGGCCGTTTTTTTATTCCCCTGACCACACTTGGAATATAATCTCTAAAGGGATTCACTGCAGTATTCCACACGGTTGCACTCCCAAGTTAATAAAAAACAAACACCTGAATATTCTGAGTTAAATTAATGACACCAAACTGAAGGAAATCTCTTTATCTCTCTCTGATGCTATCCCGTAGGTTTTCCTCCTGGGAGACAGTTTCTGACTGAAATGTGGTGTCCTCCTGTTGTTTAGAGTGTGTGTGAGACACTTTGCACCAACCTCCTGTTTCTTGTGACAGCGACTGTACACCGGAGGTTGTAAAACATGAATCAAACATTAAGCCAATTACCTGCTTACTTTCACATTCCAGAAAAATGTACCATAGTTTCCATCCCCTTTCTTAATGTTTCAAGTCTAATATGTCTCTTTAAAGCCTGGGAGTGTTCCCTCTGTTTTTCTCTACAGATGCAACTTGGCCTGCTGGCTTTCTAGCAGCATTTTCTGTTTCGATTTTAGATTTTTAGCAAACAGCATATTCCACTCCTAAACCGAACTGGCTTTTGACTGGTGCTGAAGGACTCACACCATCACTGCAGAGAAACTAGTTCAGACAATTATATGCAGTTTTGATCTCCTTACTGAGGTAGGACGTTCTTGCTATCGAGGGAGTGCAGTGGAGGTTTACCAAATTTGATTCCTGGAAAGGCAGCCCTGACATATGAGGAGCGATTGACTCTGTTAGCATTGTATTCACTGGAGTTTAGGAGAGTAAGGTGGGAACTTCATGGAAATCTGTAAAATTCCAACAGGAATGGACAGGTTCGATGCAGGAAGAAAGTTCTAAATGGTGGGAGAGTCCAGAACCAGTAGGGTCATAGGTTAAGGATAAAGGGTAAACTTGTAGGACTGAGATGAGGAGAAATATCTTCAACCAGAGAGTGGAGAGCCTGAGAAATTCACTGCCACAGAAACATCACATGTTTTCGAGAAGGAGGTAGATGTAGCTCCTGTGGCTAACAGAATCAAAGGATATTGGGGGAGGGCAGGATTAGGGGATTGAGCCCAGTGATTAGTCATGATCGTTTTGAATGGCAGAGCAGGTTCAAACGCCAAATGGCCTACTCCTGCTCCTGTCTTCCAAGTTTCTACCAATAGTGGGCAGAGACAGGATGGGGGTCTGGCAGAGGGCGTTTCGCTCTGGATTTGCTAGCTCCCTCATTTCCGAACCCCAACCCTGGCAAACACCACCCCCACCCCCACCCCCAACCGTCCAACGCGCGGTTCTTCCTGTAGGTGAGATTGACCGTGAGTTCGAGCAGATTCCTAGCCGGAGGTCTGCGACAGATCCAGGCCCGGTCTCTCGGGTAGTTTAGGGAAAGGCCATGCAAGTTTCAACCACTTCATTTGCAAATGTACAATCAGATCCACACACAAAAAAGGGCATTGTATTCAAAGTGAGTGTGTGTTACAACAGCAGTCATGTGATCATAAGAAAGAACAACCAGTTTGTGTCTGCTGTGTATCACAGACAAGTGCAGATTAACTCTTTCCAGCACTGAATGTCTTTTGCAATCTAAATGCTTGCTTAGGGCTAGAAATGATTCAAATTTCACTTTTCCCTTGTTATCATAATTCATCCAACAGAGAAAGGACCTCTGTGCATGGTGGGAACCACTAGGTTCAGTGTTTTTGTGACAAATGGGAAACTATAGACAAATATAATCTGGTTTAGCCTATCAATATGAAACAGAAATTATTCAATAAAGACACATCTGTAAGAACCCAGAAATAGCTGTAATAAATACAACAATCGAACAGTATTTCAGTAATTAAAGAGCTACAGTGGAAATATTTTCACTTGAGCTTGCATTTACACGGTAAACTGGGATTCAGTCCCCCAAATACTTACAGCCACAATAAGGAAATCCAGCCAGCACCAGGCATTTGTGAAATATCTCTTGAATCCATAGGCGACCCACTTGAGTAGCATTTCCAGGACAAAGACGTAGGTGAACACCTTGTCCAGGTACTCCAACACAATCTTTATCACTGGTTTCTTATCAATGTTAATGTCTTCAAATGTCTGTGGGACATAGAGACACATTCGACAATGAAAGTGAGCATTGAGATGCTTGGCAAGGGGTCACGGAGGGTGCAGAGATGGGGGAACGAGGAAGAGGCCATTAGGACAGAGAATCAGCGCAGGGAGTAAGACGTCACCTTCAACCTGACACTGAGTTCTGGTGCAGGGCACCATACACTGAGACCCCGAGTGTTACTCGAAAACTATGGGTCCAGTGCAGCTTGTGCCACATGGAAACAGGCCATTCAGCCTGATGAGTCTGCCCTGGTGTTGCTACTGTCCACCAGACTCCTCTGGCATCACTTCAACTCAGCAAATGAATGCATGTGTCACCAGAATCTCACCAGGGGACCGACAGGCTCTGCTTGGTCTAGGGCTGCTGAAGTAAGACACTCCTGGATTAACTTGCAGACGATCTCATATTTTATTCATTCATTCATGGGATGTGGGTGCTGCTTTTATTGGCCATCCCTAGTTTCCCTGGAGAAGGCGATGGTGGGATGCCTTCTTGAACTGCTGCAGTCCATTTCGGCTCATCAAGTAGCAGTTTATTCAGTGTTAAGGATATATTGAACATTACTGAGACTATAAGGAAGACCTGACTGTCAGAACCACTTCTTCAAAGTCCTAAACTGTCCTGACTCCAAGTCCACATAACCTTTCTTAAGATTCATTCACAGGATGTGGGCATTGCTGGCTAGGCTGGCATTTATTGCCCATCCCTAGGGCAATAAAGAGTCAATCACATTGCTGTGGGCCTGGAGTCATGTAGACCAGAACAGGTAAGGATGGCAGTTTCCCTCCCTAAAGGGCATTATTGAACCAAATGGTGTTTTTGGACAATCAATTCATGCATAGTGTTGGACTCTTAATTCCAGATTTGTTTTTATATTGAATTCAAATTCCACCATCTGCTGTGGCAGGATTTGAACCCAGGTCCCCAGATCACTACCTGGATCTCTGGATTAATAGTCCAGTGATATTGCCGCGAGGTCGTCCCTCCTGGATGCCTTTTTTGGAATGAGATGAGAGATGCTTGAGAAGGCCAGGGAGAGATCCCACTCTTTCCCCAGTGTGCTCACCCAGAACCATGGAGGGGGAGGAATGTAAGAGGGAGAAATCCCTTCCAGAGGTGTTCGGGGTGGGTTGTGGTGGGAGGAGGGGATGTTGAGGAGGGGGGAAGAGGGTTGCTGACTGCTCCTGATCAGCCAAGAGATGAGTCACAACTCACCAGAGCTCCGCTGCTCATCAGGATCATGAAGATGATGAACGTCTCGAACCAGTTGTGCTCCACAATTTTGTAGCAGGTCTTCCTCAGGTTCCACCAGACCTTCCCGTACCCTGTCGAGATGTTCACCTGACAGCAGGTGAAGCGTCGAACACAAGCTGTGGAAGAAGAGACCAGATCAGACCCACGCAGGATTGACTCATCCTTACTTTATCGGGAGCGGTGCCTAGAAATTTATATAGCGCCTTCAATCTCAGGGAGGACAGAAATTTACTTTTTCCAATGGCCGTCAGTTATTCAGTCCTGGTTTCCGAATGTATGGTGAAGTCACTCACTTTTCTTTGTTTTTCTTCCTAACCAACCTGTTAGTCAACCCCTCTGGAGCAAGTAGGACTTGAATGTGTGCCTCCCGGCTCAGACATAGGGACACTACCCCTGCCACACAAGAGTCCCCACGAAACCAACTCTTACTGTTTTCCACGCAGAGATGTTATTCCACACTTCTGGATGTTTTCTAACCCAT